ACCTTGCTCATCTACACTGTGTCCCCCCTGCTTCCTTAACAGGTTTCTCATTTCTCCCCATAAAGATCATGTTTCAGGCTTTAGGTTGAAACTTTGACAGCCTCCTCTCATGAGGTTAGTTAGAGACATCCCTTCAGAAACTTGATGAGAGCCACATTAGGTTCAAAAGCTGCTCAGAGGCTGGGGCAAGAGAAGGGCTTGGAGAAGTAGGGGAACAAAGGCACCCTGAGCACTGGAGGCAGGCAGGGGGATGGATGCTTGGCTTTAGAAGAAAGAATGTGGTTTCATCATTACCAACTGTATGTTGGCACAAGACTCTCTTCTCCATTACATTAGTTTCTAGACCATGGGAATAAAACATTTCCTTTTCAGGTTATTAGGACAGTATATTCAGGTGATGATTCTAAAAGAAGCCCTTACAGGAAGTTTTTATACAAAGCCCCTATGCTCTGCTCACTCAGAATGGCTTATGCACAAGCCAAGGTAGAGTTAAATGAGCACGAGACATTTGGGGGGAAATGTTGGTGTAGGATGAGAAGAAATGGAAAGAGCTCACACTGGGATGGGAGTGCTGCCCCTAGAGAAGGCCACGAGGGAAGTGGGAGAAAGTCCACAGAGTCACAGGCCATAGAACATTATTTCTTGGGTCTCTGCCAGGCAGGTGGTGAAACACAGAACAAATAACTCTGCTCAAAGTCCTGCTACAAGGGAACAGCTTGGTTTTAATATATACATAACACTCAGTTCCAAGGCAGAAATAGCTTGAGCGTGTGAGCCTCACTACGTGTGCTAGAAGGACACTGCAGATGGAGCAGCTGGACACTATGTCCTCCCTATGTTCCAGTCCTAGGATCCCTGTTGAGGAGACATCTTGATACAAACCTTCTTTTCTTCCTCTCAATTTCTATATTCATGTCACGGAGTTAAAGATTTCTATTGTTCAGCAGGGTGAGGTGGCACACACCTCACTCTGGGAGGCAGTGGCAGGTTGATCTCTGTGAGTTTGAGGTCAGCCCGGTCTACAAAGTGAGTCCAGGACAACCAATGCTACACAGAGAAACCCTGTCTCAAAAACCAAAACAAAACAAAATAATACCATCAACAACAAAAACAGATTTCTATAGTTAAATTTGTTAGTCTAGGTCTGGCAGAATAAAACTCCATAAATATGTTAGCCTAAACTCAAAAATATATTATTTTGCAATTCTTGAAACTTGATCTTCAAGGTTAAGGTATCTACGGGATTGGTTTCTTTCTAACCAATGGTTTCTTTCTAACGTCATGAAAGATGATGTCTTTCTTGTGTCTTTATGTTGCCTTTTCTCTGGTGCTTGGTATAAGAATAATAGACATTTAGGATCAGGACCCAGTTGACTTTGCTCAACCTTAGTTAACCCCCTGCAACTGTTCATTTCAAAATATAGTCTCACTGTGGGTTCCACGTTGGCTTCATAGGTTTGGTGAAAATAGTTAAATTTTCAGATCTCTCTGTCTTTCATATATACATACATATATATATATGTAATAGATTAATATATTCCTCTCCCTACTTTATCCATCTTATCTATCTATCTATCTATCTATCTATCTGTCTGTCTGTCTGTCTGTCTGTCTGTCTGTCTGTCTATCTATCATGTGGAGAAAGTGTGTAGTGTATGTATGTATATATGAATGTATATATAAACATGAATCTATGTGTGCTGACACATCTGTATATGCACATATGGAAACCAAAGAACAACCTTGAGAATTATTCTTTAGGAGTAGTCTACCTTATTTTGAGACAAGGTCTCTCTCAATGGCCAGGAGATCACCACTGACAGATCTCCACCTCCACAATGCTGAGTTTACAAACGGACCATCATGACACGGATTTTGAAGTGGGGTCTGGGGATTCAACTCAAATCCTCATGCTTCTAAGGCAAACACTTTCTCAATGGAACAATTTCTCCTGCCACCTCTTCTTGTTTTATTAGCAATTTGTCGTGTATTAGAAGGGCAGAACAAAGGTACAATTTTCATTATTGAGCTCAGGATCCAGCAGAAATGAGAAATTGGGACTGACTCAACAGGGTAATAAGTGCTGTGACAAGAGAGATCCTGGGTGCTGAAAGAACAGATAGGGGAGATCACAGATCCAGACTCAGCTTGCTATGAGGGTGGAAGAATTTTCTGAGAAGGATGTAGCATCCAAATTAGCTTTAAAGCCTGGGTAGAATTTAGTAACCAAGAAGACGGGAAAGGAACATGTACAAACAAAAAGTATCTCAACCTGAACCACTAATCAGGGAGCATGTATGGGACTGACCTAGGTCTTCTGTACATGAGTTACAATTGTGTAGCTTGGTCTTCATGTGGGACTCCTAATATCAAGAGCAGGAGCTGTCTCTAACTCTGTTGCCTGCCTTTGGCACCCTTTCCCCCTACAGGGTTGCCTCATCTATTCTCAATAGGAGAATATGCCTAGTTTTACTGCAACTTAATATGCTTGGATTGGTTGATATCCATGGGAGGCCTCCCCTTTTCTTAAGAGAAAGAAAGGGTGGGAGGATGGAAGGGAGGGAAAACTGTGGTTGGAATGTAAATAAATAAGTAATAAATAATTTAAAAAGGTATCTTGAGGGATGAGGGTCCTCTCAGAGAGTGACTGTTGGTTGGGCTTGGGTCACGGGACAAGTACTGAAGGATGTTCTAAGAGCCAGCAATTAGTGATGTGGACTTGCAGCTTTTGGTACTGGAGACAGAGATTCTCAGAAATCTGATTCAGAATTTGGGTCTACACTGAAGGCTCTGCCAGTCTTCCTGCTCCCTCCTCTTCAGTTTCTTGTTGTATAGATTATTAGAAAGCACTCTTATATTTCAAGGCGCCTAGGACTAACCTAAGATCACAATGTCTTGTCTAATGTTTTTGCAGGTCTCAGCTGCAAATGACACCCACATGCAACAGCCACTTTGCCCATACATATGCTCAGTTCCTTCCTATTCCTATCTGCCTGTCCCGGAGCACAGTGTGCACTCACAGAGATGCAGCTGTCCCTGCATTTTGCACAGTGGCATGTCACTATCCACTGTTATTAATGTAAGAGCTGAGCACAGAGAAGATGCCCTCCTCTTAGGAGCTACATGCGAAACGGCTGAGAAACACTCTGTTAGGGCCTGAAAGAGGCAATTTCAATTTTCTGTGGCTGTGGCAATGCCACCAACATGGTGATTACATATGCTGAGCAAATGCCATGCAGCAGGATGCCCTGTAATTGTGGACCCCAGGCCGTGAGTTTTAGATAGAGGTTCATATCTGACTAAAGGCACAAACCTTGCCAGGCTCTGCTTGTGTGTAGCAGGTACTCAGCAGGCATGTATTTCAGGGGTGTGCAGTGTGTGCCCCGCCTCTGGTTTACCATAGTCATTTCATCACTGTCTTAAAATAAAGACAACTTTCTTGCGAGGTATCCATGGCAACAATCTAAGCACAGTAATGCACAGCAGTAGCTATGTGATAGTATAGTAATAGTTACATAATAATAATAGGTCTATGTTAATGGTAGCATCACATAGTAGAAGGGGTCCATCTGAAGATTCTCATTTGGAATCCCACCCATTAGTTCCCCCTGCCTGCCACAGCTGCCAATGTTCTTGGGAAATGTCAGGATATATATATATATATATATATATATATATATATATATATATATATATATGGAGCTGAAGGTAAAGTGAGAGGAAATCCATAGCGGCGCAGTTTCATAAGGTTGTTGTCCATTCTGAAGACAGATTTGGTGGTGATGTAGCTGTTTTGGGGTCATCCAGAGTAATTCAAGTAACTCTCTACCCAGTTCTATAAGTAAGGGCAAGAAGCTTATTGATCCACCAAGTTGAACTTGGGTAGCATCATTACTTTGATCTATCTCTTGGTGATCTATTTGGCGTAAGTATACATTTGCTCATATCACCTCCAAAAGAGTTCATATAACATGAGAGTTATTCACTTGAGAGGGGAGAGGGGCGACAGAGCGGTGAGGCCTAGCGACCGTTAGGAAGGAGGATCAGACTCAGAGAGATGTTATGGGTAGAAGGTTATGATCACAGGGCTATTTAGTGGAAAAGTAAGGCCTGGAAATCAAAAAATCCAAGCGCAATTCCAAACCTGATTCACTTGTGCATTAAATACGTGTTGAATGTCCCACTCTCTATTTAAGACAATCAGCATTCACATAGAATAAGAAGTATTTTTTTTTCCAGAAGTCACAAATCTAACTTCATCTCATAAGCATTTAAACAGGCACACAGCACAGCCAGGCTGAGACTCCAAGAATCTAACTTGTCAGGTAGTGATGATTCCTGAATCTCTAAGACAGAGAACTCATAGCTATTCTGCGGGGTCTTACTGATTGACAGTGGCTACAGGAACAAATTCTCGTGATTCGAGGACTCCTAAGAACTGAAGCTATTCTGCATAACACTTAAATGTTGAAGGCTTGCAATTTTCTCAATTGACAGTGTGATAGACTTATAATAAGAGAATTATAATATTTCATGACCAGAATTCTACATTGTCTTCATGTAACAATAATGATACTCCATGTATATTGCATTAAATAAAATATATCACGAATTAAATTTACCTGTGTCATTTACTTTTTAAAAATATGGTTAATAGAAAAAATATGTCTGCCTTTTAAGAATTTCATTTTATTATTATACATGTGTGTTTGTGTATATGCATGAACACATGTATGAGGGTACCCTCAGAGGCCAGAAGAGAATATTGGACCTCTTGAAATTGTAGTCACAGGTGCTTGTGAGCTGTGATATGAGTGCTGGAAACAAAACACAAACTTCAGTCCTCTGCAAGAGCAGCAAGAACTTCTGATCCCTAAGCAATCGCTCCAGCTCCTTGTCTTACATTTTAGAATGTTAGAAAATGATCATATGTCCAGAGAAAGATAAAGAGAGAGTTACACGTTTCTTCAGTGACCCTACAATCTCATTCTAGTTCATACCTGTACACACAGCACAAACACACAAGAGTACAGTACAGTGGTGATTTGCTGAATGACCTTGGGTAACGTGTTATTTCTTCACCTGCAAAATGGAAAGAATTAGGTTAAATTTTCATTAAGATAACCTTGGATGTTGTTCTTATTCTTCTTATTTTGAATCCCTTATCTTTTCTGTGAATTTGGTTCTATGACCTTCTGTCACAAAACCCTAACCCATCTTAGTTGTCATTAATGCATTTTTGTTCCTGGCTAATAAAATCCACATGCATAAGTCTTATTTGATTTCTAAGTCTTTTATTCCAGACAATGAAATGTAGTCCCTTAACCTGTTGAAAACTTTTCTGTTACGTTTCAACAGAAAGTCATGTATAAATAAGATTAATTACCTCTAGTAGAGTTTAGATTTCAATTCTCATTCTTTGGTGTGATCAAATGATTCTGGGGCTTGAGATGATTTTCAAAAGGAAATATCAAATTATTGAAGAAATTTTTTTTCTGAAGAATAGGAGACATGAGAGTTTATTTTATTGGTATAGGTATCAAAATGAAGAACAAATAGACCACAGCCAACCAATCTGTGGTGGCATTTCTTCTATCTTTAAAGTGACAGTTTTAGCTTAGGGATATCTAGTGCCTTCTGGAGCCTAGGGTACCTGATTTTTCAACACTACAGGAGTCAGGGTCATCTTGAGTTCTTGTCATAAGCCATGACTCTCTAGATTGCCAAACTCACTTGGAAATTGCAAACTTTAACAATAAGTGCTTCTCAGTTGTAGTAGAAAGTGGAATGCATCATATTGGAGACCTTCTTAACAAGTTCTTGTGAAGATTCTTTCAGGATGGTGGAAAATAGCTACTAAACATTTGGAAAGTGAAAGAAACTACCATCTTTAGGAATGGTTACAGTAGAAGAGGGTTCATTCTACATCAGTAATTATCCAGAAATATCTAGGTTCAGCAAATTGATCTGCTCCCTGACAAACTATACCATCCACCTTTCGATTTCAGTGGAGCTCTTAAGGAAAGTTCTGTGGCCACTATGTCAACTCAAGAATTAGAAGAATCTAGACGAGGTGTGGTGTGGTATGTGATGTGTGTGTGCATCCGTGTGTTGTAGTTTGCATCTGGCATTAAATATATGAATGCAAACATATCACGGGCCTTTCCGAGCCCACTTTTCTTCTCTTATAAAATTGGGAGAGTTTTCTATGTTTACCAAGTCATGAAAGTTATGTAAACTGTAAGCATGGAGATCTCCAATTAAAAGCTAAAAAATCACTTCATAGAAAGATGTTGGCAGTTCTGGGAAGGCAGAAGTTAAGGTGAAATTTCTTCCTTGAGGATTTGAAAGAAAAACTGGGTTACAAACAAAGATTTATGGAATGCTGGTTGGCTATTGACTTTAAAAAATTCTGATTACCATGTTTACAGTGGAAAATTTGGGGAATAACATTAACAAAGAAAAAAATTAAATCACACACTGAGAACTAATGCTTGTTAAGAATTTGAGGACGTCTGTAGCATGTATTTCTTAATTTGAGAAAACAGAAGTGAAAGAAAATTCTGGCCATCTAATATTATTTGAACACACAGGGTTGGCATGAGCTAAGAGGAGAATTTGGTTCTCTGTATAGTTTAGAAAGAAAGATAATGTTAGAGACCAAGCCAAACAGATTTTTTTTTTTTTTTTTTTTTTTTTTTTTTAGACAGGGATACTAAGAATCTTCCTCTTTTTCCTGGGAGGTAATAAGGACACTCAACCTCAACTTTCTTTCCATTCCTTTCCTGCTGCCTGACCTGATTTTATCAATTCCTTAGGCACATTGACCGAATTTGCTATGAGAAATGCCCTCTCATACCTAACAAGTGAACTGAGGGCTTAGAGTATGCATTTCCCAGTAGAATTGTCTCTATTAGAGTATACTTATCTTGTGTAAAATGAAGCTCCAAAGCCAGGAGTTTATGCAAGCCTTCTTTTCATTTGTAATTGACAGGAACACAGAGTCAACTCCTGGGCCCTGCTGTACCTGTAAACCTCTTCTAGACAGCTTTGTCCATGTAGCATGTAGGTGAGTAATCACAGAATTTAGATACCTTTCTGATTAAAAGATGAAGTAATTGGATAAGTAAAAGAAAGATGGTGGTGTGTTTGTGTGTGTGTGTGTGTGTGTGTGAGAGAGAGAGAGAGAGAGAGAGAGAGAGAGGAAGAAGGACAAATTCTAAGTTGTTTTAAAGTATGAATGGTAGAGAACAGAAAAGAGGAAAAAGAAAAAATTCAAGGAAATTGTATGAAGGTAATAAAAGAGGCTGAGAAGAGAGAGGGGAAAAAAGAGACAGGAAAGACTGCTTGAGTGACAGAGACAGGGGAGACAGCCATTACCACTCAATGATTAATACCGGATTAAATTAAATATTCATGAAAGGAAATTGTAGCTATAGACAAACCCAAATGCCACTTCCCTGAAGCCCTTCCCCCATTTCTCTCAAAAGTGAATTCCTTGGAGATTCATGCCCTCTATTGTCATTACCTGGGAACAATTAATAAATGTGGCTAGGAGGTGACTTTTGTTTCCTGGATGTCATTTGCCTCCATTACAAATAATTCTGAGATTCTGTGAAAACCAAGGCACATTTTAGAAGCTTCTGAGTGCCTTGGAGACAATCCAGATGGCTTTTCCATTCTTTGAGCAATTACTTGTGACCACTGTTTCCTAAGGTAGTCCTCCCTTCCCAGAGATGATTGGAAACATCCTGTTGAGGTCAACAGCAATCTCATATACATCTCTCTAACCCCATCACTGGTTTGTAACAAAAGTTACATGACACGGCCATGTGCCACTTGCCCAGCGCCTGTCAATACAAGGGGTGGCATCATCTCTCCCGGCTTCACTTCTCGTTTTTGAGCAGAATTTCCTTCCTAGCCACAAGCAAGTATTACCTACAAAGAACAAGAAAACATCCTCCATAGGAAAAGCAAATGAATAGTCCCCGTTTCTTTTCCCTCTCTCTTTGGGCTCTCTACAACATGGTGTAAAACTGGTTCCCCACTATTGAACCTTTTTCCCTGGGGAATTGGCATCAAAGTCAGCACCTGGCCTTTGAATTTTTACTGCTTCCCAAGAGAAGCCCCTTTCAGTTTTCCTTAGTTGGGAACTCTCCTTTGCATTCCACTACTCATCAGCTTCTCCAAAATAGCTGCTTGTTTTCCTGAAAAGGAAGTTATATCTTCATTAGATTACTCTTACCCTTTTCTGTTCTCTAAGGCACAAATTTTCTTATCTTGGAGGAGAAGGTAGATCTGAGCAGTTGTATCAAACCTTATGTCATAGAAGTGATTTGACCTGACAATTTTCCTTTATGATGGTATAAAAAAATGTTTTCAAGGCTATTATTTTTACTATTATTGTTGTTTATCCCAGTCTTTTCATTTGAAATAGAGATAAAGCAGGGTATGATGGTACACAGTTGCAATCCCAGCACTTTGGGATTGAAGTAGAGGTAGGAGAATCACCATGTGTTGAGGTGAGCCTGGGCTGCAAAATGAGATCTATTTCACCCAATATTCCTCTGAAATTAAAATGGAACTGGTAGCCTTTACTTCTACGATACAGTCTAAAGATAGAGCAAGAGATCCCTAAATTTTGAAACCTATTCTGATGTTACATATTGTAGTGAATCTGAAATGACTAAACAATAAATATCTCCAGCTTTTCACTGCTGGGTCCACAGTGGTCGTGCACAAATGTCAGGTTTGTAGTGGGGACTCAATCACTTGACAGTCTTCAGATCTGAGGACTATCTTCACTTCTTTGTATTAGTTCTCCTTTTTTTGTTTTATTTTGTTTTGAGACAGGGTCTCCTGGAAGGCATGGAATTTGCTATGTGGATCAGACTGGCCTCAGAACAAAGAGATCTCTCTATCTCTGTGTTCTTAGTGCTGGGATTAAAGATGCATACTGATATGCTTAGCTTTCCTCTTACTTCTCTCCTAAATATTATTATCAGAATGCTGGTACTATCTGTCCCCCTTATTGCACAATCATCAGGCTGTGGTATTGACCTCATGGATGGCTCAGACATTCATATTAGACCAGCTAACAAAAGACCATAAAAATTTCAAGAAACAAATGTACAGAAACCCAAACACTGGTTGACAGAGCACAGAGGAGCTCCCTCCACATGCTGCACGGTCCTCAGGGGGAGGTATCATCTTGTCTAACACCATAAAAAGGAGAAATAACTCCAACAGAACGGTGGTCTGAAGGATTCCTGCATCAACAAATAAAGATAGGTATGACATGCCAAGAACAGATGCACAAAGATCAATCTTTCAAGGCACAGTCTTAGAGAATGTCATCTTCATTTTAGAACAGCAGTGGTGTGCTTATGCCACAGGACTTCATTAATTCTGCTTAACCAGGATCTAGTGTCTTTACTATATACTAGTCTGCAGGCATTTAATACAATTGATTCATTAAATGACCGCACATAGGAGATGCCCTGCATCATCTTTCCTGTTTAGCACTAAATACTCCAATATACCATCCATTTTCCTTACTTATCTTGTTTACTGCACTTTTTTTTTTTTTTCAAATCTGAAAGTTCTGCTTGTTTGCTTGTGGTTGTTTTTTTGTAATATACTTAGGATTAACACTGTACTTAGCATATATTATCATTCATTCATTGTTGATTTAAACACCACCTTTTCTAATTTTTTTCTTATTTAGGTGGAATTTACATGTTTGTTTGTTTGTTTGTTTTTGTAAAGCAAAAGCAAATGAAAATGTATAAATACAAGCCTGTATCTTTTTTCTTATGTAAATGATTTAGCGTATTTTATTCCAGAGTTTTACAAACACTCAAATAATAAAGAGGTAGAATATTTAATACTTACTCATTTGATAAAGAGTACTCTGTTGAATTAATTAATCTCTGAAATAAACTTTTTCCATGGATAAGGGCAGTGAAGTTCAGAGTGGCTAGGTGATCTGTCCCGAGTAACTTAGAAATTGTTGCAAGCCCAGCATTTAAATACAAGTAGTACAATCTTTGGGCCTGTAAGTTTAATCATAACACTATTAT